TCAAAAACATTCGTTAGTATACATATTAAGAGCATAATCTTATTGAATGCTTACAAAGGAGTATTTTTTGTGTATTTTTATTCTATATATTATGGAGTAAGTTATTTTATAAATTAATTACCCTAGTTCAACATCCTTGGCATTATCGTAAAAATTAACCTCAAACTGAATTGATAATTGCTTTGACAAAAATTAATGATATCCACGTTAGTTTATTTTTGATTGTCTTCAAAACAATACTCTTCCTCTGAGTATTGTTATTAAGGAAATTAATTAAAAAATAAGTTACTATGGCTCTGTCTTGAGTAATTGTATTAAAAGTTCATGTTCATCAAAACCAAATAAATTAGCTAAAGAACAAAAAAAGTATCGCAAATAAGTAAACTTTGTCTTCTATTGCATTTTCTCTTCCTGATAATTATTGGTAAGAAAGAATTTAGAATTTTATCTTTTTATGCTATGTTTTTTTTTAGAAATAATTTTTTAGTATTTAGAAATAATGCATATTTTACCTAGTGGACACGGCAACATCACTATGACGTCGAAAAGACGTCTTTTTAGGACGTCAGAACTAGTTCTAATTGGCAACGCCAGATGACACTAATTAAGCTAGTAATTAAGACGTCTTTTTAGGACGGAATAAAGACGTGTTTTTCAGACGTCTAAAAGATGTGAAGTTAGGAGGTTTAAAACTAGTGCTAGAAGGAAACGCCAAATGACGTTTATAAATAACCTAATTTAGCCGTCCTCATTTCGACGTCTGTTATACGTGTTTTTACATAGCTTTTCTCGAACGTAAGGTTGAAATTTATGTTTTCACTTAACCTTTTGAGAATAAGTAAAAAAGAAAAAATTGCGTAAACTTTTTAATATAATTGAGCTAAGTATTATAAATTACAACTTTTTTTAAACTTCGATAACAGTCGATACTTTCCAAGTATCGACTGTTCGAACACTTGATGTCATTTGCCTTCTTTTAGATCAAGTGTAAGCTTTAGATTTTTGCCAACAGCATTTTAAAGTTCTTTTTTGCTGTAGGAATCAGTTAAACAGTCTTAAACCTAAAGAAAATTATAAAGATCAGTAGGTATAAATAAAAGAGAAAGGAATAAAGAGAACATTTATAATACACTTTATGACGTAATATATATATATATATATATATATATATATATATATATATATATATATATATATATATATATATATATACACATATTTAAGTCATATGCACACACAAACACATATCACCAACATTTAATAACTTCTATTTCTAAATTCAAAAGATAACACTTGTATAAGTAATATGGGGCAATTTAGTGCAAGTTGTATTGGGCATAGATAATTCATTAGTGTTTTGATCAATTCGTTAATATTGTCTATGTATAATTACAAATCAAAATTTGTTATGTAACTTATGATAGTAATTAACGCTTATAAAGAAAACTAAATATTAAACCATAATATGTATATATATATATATATATATATATATATATATATATATATATATATATATATATATATATATATATATATATATATATATATATATGTATATATATATATATATATGTATATATATATATATATATATATATATATATATATATATATATATATATATATATATATATATATATATATATATATATATATATATATATATATATGTTTATAAGGCCGGCGCGATAGGGGTGTGAAACCCCCCTTCCCTATCAATGGCTTTTAGTCGGCAAACTGGACCCTTAGTCGGCAACTTGGACCTTTTTAGACTAGTTAGTCGGCAAATGTCGACCCTTTTGATATAGTTTAGACAGTCGGCAAATGTCGCCATGGCATTCCGCAAATTTTGGAAAACGAGGACCTTTTTTTTTTTTTTAGTCGGCAAAAAAAATTTTAACTCCAAAAAAATTTGAATCTGGTGCAACACCTTTGAAAAATAAATGAAAAATATTCTCATACATCATCTTCTTAAAAACACATGTTTACGTAGTTTTCCATGTTTATTAAACTAAAATAAAAAAAATCTATAAAGTGACGTTTTTTCCTGGCAGCCTCCCCCCTCCCCTTGTCCTTTTTTGTCCTTTTTCACTCTACCATCTTTCCCCCTGTTTGGATGACGTTCTTTATGGATCGCCTTTATATATATATATATATATATATATATATATATATATATATATATATATATATATATATATATATATATATGTATATATATATAT